GCGCCGCCCGCCCGGGCGCGGGGTCGTGCGCAAGGGCGGGGAGTCCCCGGCCCCGGCACGGGAGCATCCGCCACACCGCAGCGCCTGGGTCAAGCCCTCAGACCGGTCCGCGGAAAGCGGCGTCGGAGGCACCTGGTCCCCTTGGAGAGCGGGTGGATACTGTGGAGCTGCAGCTGCTAGCTCCCTGGCGGGGGTAAAATCCAAAATCCGAAAGGGAGGGGAGGCAGCAGAGATGGAGCTTCTAGAAACTCCCTTTCGAGGCACCAGCTGGGCTGTTTCAGACCTCCCGCACAGCGCCTGGGAAGATGGTGCGGGGACACGTCTTCAGGGCGCAAAGCCCACCGAAGCGCAAAGTGTCCGGGTGGCGCCTGCGACTTGCAGCCTCTGTTCACAGCGCTGCCCGGACTCAGTGACCCCTGCGCTGGACAGCCCCTGGGCGGTGTGGCTTCCAGGATGAGGACAGAAATTATCTCAAAGGATTTTATATTCTGAATGGCTTTGCCTCTCCTCCAGTTTTCCAAGGCTTTGTAAATAAAGCCGCAAAATCAAGGCTCCTAGATTCGGAGACATCATCTTAGGTACACCCGCTCTTCCCAAGTTCTACGTATATCCTTTCTCATCTTCACACTCTCCTCTGATTAGCTGCTTGAGAGATGAGGCATTGCAGATTCTTGGGACTCAGGGGTGCCAGTCACCAGGGAAGGCAGAAAGAGCTATGTGCTTTATGTCCCTAACTCCAGAGTTCAGGGAATTGCAGGGATTCCTCCGAGGTCAGGAGACTCACACGGAATCATAGCACAGGCATACCAAATGCAATCTTACGTAGCTATTCACACGTGTGTGTGGATATTAAGTAGCTTAGGAGCTATACATATGCAGAGAGCCAGTTCTGCAATGTCTAGTGAGTTCTGCACACCATCTTAGGCAATACCTTCAAGCCACCCTGACCCTGCTCATACCAGTCAGTTCAGCAGGCAGAGAAAACATCATGTGCATAAGGCAAGGGAAGGAAAATAATTTTAAGAGCTCTGCCCTTCTCATTAGATTGTGAAATTACTTACCAGATTTCTGGGGCGTTCATTCATTTTAATAGGCTGTCTTGGTGGCTTTTGGTGGTAGGCCTTTGTCATCAGGGAAATACAACATAAGCCCAAAGCAATAGCGGCTTTAATTTGGCAGACGACTGAGTGTGAGGATGGAATGGAAATAGCACTGTGAATTTCTGGAAGGTTAAATTGATGTGAGATGGACCACCCCATAATCAAAAACACCACTCAGCAACTCATTATTTCAGAGAACGCTTGACAGATCACTCCAAGGGATGGATATGACAGGCAGTTTTGACCAGTAAAAGTAAGTAAGATGCCTCTAAACGTACAAGAATGACGTGCCAGTTTATGAGAATGTGGCTACTCTAAAGATAGATGATGATGTAAGACTTCATTCAGAAAATTGCTCCAAGGCTATAAAGGGGCTTGACTGCTCCTCTGGTCCCCTGGTTAGGACTGTCACTAACCTCCTCACTCAGTAGATTTTTTTTTTTTTTTGGTAGAAATGGTATTAACTGTTAAGGGTTGCACCTTTGAAACAGTGGATGAAAATGCACATTATTCTTAAAATTAAAATATCTGTGATCGCCCCAGTGTGTGTTGATTGCCTTGTCCTGGGCATGCAGCAAAGCTCTTGTTCTGTTTCCCCTCCTGTGTTGGCAGTGTGGCACGTGGAGTGAATGTCTTTTTGAAAAATTAATGTGGTCACGCCCCTCCCAAGAGCACAGACATAGCTTCACATGTACAACTTGCCGAGAGGTAGGACCCACAGTCTTTTTGTCCATGCCCTGCCATTGCCACCGTGACAGAGAGAGCATAAAGGGAGCAGCAACTAGATCACTGCCTGGACTCAGATGTGAGCTCTGCCACGGGGCTGCTCTAGAAACCTGGGCAAGGGCCATGGCTTCTGTGGGGTGAAAAAAATCCTTAGTTCGCTGCATTAGCTGTACAATGGTGTTTAAAATATTTTTTAAAATCTTCTAAAAGTAAAGATATTGACTGTACATAAATTTGCCTCAGAGCTGTCACCAGTCACCTCCTTATGTTAACTTCTAGTATTGGAGCCTCTGTAAAGGACCTGGCTTCTCTATAAGCCTGTACCGTGTCTACATGTACTCTCAATCGGTCCTTCTAGAATTTTAATACACTAATTACTTGTTTAGATGATCAAAGAGTGCTGTTGGCTGATTCATGGTTAGCTACCCATCAAGTGTTAAAATTCAAGTTAGTATTGAATTTTATGTTCTTCCCTTTCATCATAAGGACATCAACACGACAATCACCTTCCATGGATATTTGAGCAGACTGGATATTCACAGTCCAGCTCAGGTGGGTGAGAATGTGCATTCTACATTCCTGTATAATGTGTAATACACCTACTTCACCCACCTACACCTGAGCTGCTTTGGGCTAAAGTAGACACATTTTCTTACCTCTGAACTAATTTTGTCAATAGTGATAATATGCAAATTACCTTGTTCAAACAATGTACTTATTTGAGTGTGTTTTTCCACCTTATATTCTATTACATAGTTTAAACAATATTTTCTAAAATATATCTTCTCAACTACCAATAATTTTTAAAGTCATACCTTAATTTTTATCTAGACTAGGCTAGATTAAAAATAGCATTATTGGCGCTTAATCTTTTGGAATCAGGACTAAATATGTGATTTAATTTAACTCTTAATCAATCTGTGTGCTTGCAAAAAACCTACCACATCAGACTCTCTTAACAAAATACTGCTTTGTCCTTCAGGCTCCCCCCATATCAGCTCTCACCCAGGAATGTTCATATAATTCATGTGAAAATGCGAAAGTTAAACATCCTTCATTTCCAGTCTCTAGTAATCCATATCACCTGCAAATGCACATGCCCTAAGAAACAGCTCATGCCCTTTACCACATTTTGTCTCAGTAAACTTCTGAGACAAACCTCGGGGAATTATTGATCAATTCTAGTATCTCTCTCGCCTTCAAGCTAATGCTATGTGATCTGCTAGCAAACAGAAAGGTACCACTGCCCCATTGGAAGATGTGACCCTTCCGCAAACGGTTTACAACTATTCTTTAGCAGACAGAAGAGAGATATACCAAAAAATGAAGATAGAAAATATCTATGTTGATTCTAAGTACAAGAACAAAGAGATCAGTCATGGGCAGGCAAACACTGACTATTGGAGAGTGTCTAGTTAAGTGAAAGCTGAATGAACGTATTCTCCCCTTTGGACTTTGAGAACTGAAGGTGCTCGCTAGAAAGATACAGAATGTCTCACCTTGGCTCCTGAAGATTATTATCAGCTGGCTTCTCAAAATATTCTACTAAGGGGCAAGATTTTGGAGCTAATGAATCAAAAGAATTTATTTTAAGAACCAGGTGTAGTCACAAATGCCTACCACCCCATCATTAAATTTATTGAAGAAGAAGGGTTGGATGAAGCAGAGGGTAAGATTGAGGATTTCCTAAGATATGAATATATGGAATAGAAAATGTGCATATCAATGTATTACCAATAACTAATAGTAAGCCCAGATATGTTCTTAATATTGTATCATCAAATGTAGAAAGTAAACCATAAAAACAACAGAAAGCCTAGGAAGTAACTTTTTCTTCCATACATAGTCATGCAGTAGAATGTGAAGGACACAGGGCTTTCATATGAGATTAAGTAGGTAACACTCCCCAAAATAACGTATCCCTCCTTTACACACACAAAAAAATGTACATTTATATTACCAAGCCTGAGAGGGTGATGCTTGAGGAGACTTGGAGCTGAAGAGCTAGATGACTTTGTATTAATGAGGAATTTTAAATATTAACTTACAGAATGGTGGAAGCTCTCCTGAGATGAGAGTGGAAATAGAGTAAGAAAAGGGATGCTTAAAAAAAAATAGATCAGGTAACTGTTTTTGGAATTGGGCCACCCAGTAGTCAGTTCTAAACTATTGACTGTGCACTGCACAAGACAATATGTAGCTCATTTATTGGGTTGGATGAGGAAAATGATACATATACTAATGTATTAAGTCCTTGACTGTTTGGTACAGGCAGCACCTCTGAAACATGAATGAGAAATGAGACCATGAAATACAGTCTTTGAAAATGGTCATATAAACCCAAAGACACAACATCACAAAAGACTCATTGAAAAGGTTTGGCTATTTGGGATTACATCCTTAACTTCTCATGAGTTACAGCTCAGAGGATTGCAACCTTGCAGAATGAGGTTCAGTGTTTGCCGGGAGGTAGCTGCTCTCTCAAGATGCAAGAACGGTGATCTGTGTGTCTTCTTTGATGTTCCAGTTGCAGCATGACCCTTATCTCAAAGGGCAGATTCTTCTGAACTGAACTGAACAACTCACTTGTTACAACTGAGGCTGCCAAGATATCTTTAATATGACTTATTCTGTGACAGAATTATAATTTATTTTATTCTTCTGCACGTCCAGTTTTTCAAATCCGTATTTTCAATGTGGTTACCACCAATAAAGCATGTACCTCATTTAGTGAAACTGCCTTCCCTGAGTGTGCATATCTAAAATTA